TTTGTAGGCCAATCTTCCATAATATATACCTTATGATGAGAAAATTTTTGTTCAAGTAAGAAACATGGTTAGAAAGTGAATTTCTTTTTTCTGACCGTCTGTTCTAACCTTAGTATTCGGAGCCGAGTTGTGATAAAGTGGGATTAATCTACAATCAACAACTTCATTTGATTTTCTCTTAATCTTTTCTCATATGTTTAACAAGTTAGACTTGATTTAAAGCATGTTCTCACCGACACTTATAGATCATGATTTATTATTAGTACTACATTGCATCGACTTCTTTCACTATTAAATAAATTGGACAAAGGCGAGTAATTCCTTTCGAACGAAAAGCATTCTAATCTAACGAATTATCCAAGTGAAATATACAAACTACTTGATATTGTTCTTTCTTATATGTCCATATAGGACCAAAACACGAGCCGCAATTTGCATTAGTCTTTTTAGCAATAATGATGCTTGAGGACTATTTTGGGACTCTATTCTTCACCCAAAAGCTTATGCTTGTTAGTCTGGACCGACTTACATGTTGTAAAATTCAATGTTTTCATACACTTTAAGAATTTTTCTAAACCATTAGTATAATATTAATATATACTAATGCAATGCTAAATTTCTTATAAGGTATAGCTGCAAAATTAGAGTGCAGAAGCTGCTTCTAATCCCCGTTTGCAAGTGATATCGCACTGAGCATCATGTGTACATATCCTCTTGCGCTTTCTTTAAAATAAGAGGCATTTACATAAAGAGCACACAAATTTATGAATTTACATATCTAACGGTCAGACGTGCATATCTACACACATTGCACTCAAATCTTTAATATCACATAAAACATAATCACACATTGCACTCAAATCTTTAATATCACATAAAATATATACTATTACCACTTTTTAAAAGTGAATTACACATTTTCATGCGTAAATTTAAGCATGAAAAGTGTTATGTACCTAAATATGAATGTTTAGGTGCGAGAAATGTAAATACAAGGACCAGTAGGTCTAGTGCAGAGTTGATGCCGACAGCCATTTTGTTTTCTCGAAGAGGTTATTTTTGTGATTTGAACCATGAATTGATCACAATATGGGCGCAATCTGATCGTTGCATGCAACCCCATTCCCTTCTCTTGCCATATAATATTAAGTACATGTTACTACCAATACAATTAAAACCATCTCTTTAAGATACTAAACTATAACCCCTTTTTTTATGTCTTTCAGATGGATCAAAGAGAAACTGATGATTCATCCCACATCTCTTTGCCATATGGACTCCATGTTTAAAAAAAAAAAAGGATGTATTCATAATTTTTAAAATAAAAACACTCATTTTCATAAGTAAGGCGGAATGAAAGATAATCTGAATTTCACAAATCCATTGATTCTCAGGCCCTCTATTAGCAACCAAAAAAGCACATCTGAATTTCAATAAATTGGTAAGAAAGGCATGTAGATTCTAAGATTCTGTGCTCTACTCACTAATATATGCGCCCCATTCTGAAATTCTCTTTTTCTTCCTGGCCTGAAAAAAACATTAACAATGCAAATTAAAAAGCGGCTGAGAAGTCAGCCTTGTTTTCCGAGCTGCATCTTTTTCTTGATTGCTCGATGACTATGAAAAACAAAAGCATCAATGATCCCAGCAACTGTAAAAACACCTAAATCATAAATAAAAAAAAAAATTATTAGATTAGATTAATTTCACATCACCACAAGGCTGAGCAAGAATACTTCTCATTAGAATTATAAATGATGCAAACAGAAAAAACCTAGATTAGTAATCTGGCATGCTTATGCATAAATCATGATCTTATGAGGGGTTTTGAGATGTTAAAACCATCTGCCAAATCCTATATTTGATCCAATATTATAGATGCAGACGTCGCTTGATTTGCGGAAAAGGGACATCCGGATGTCAATGCAATAAAAAGAAAATGTATATGAATAACTGGAAGATGCTAAATTAGGCTTGAAGAAAATAACTAAACTGTTCCTCACTTATAACCCTGAAATTTCCATTTAGTTACATAATTTTCTCAATCCACATCATTCTAATTGGTTCTTTTTTGTTATTAAATATGCCAACAAAATAAAATTGCTGGCATCTGCTGAGGTGATAACATTACACAGAAATTCCAGCAAGCCCTGAGATTAAAGGAACTATTTCTCCAGTTCAGCTGAAGCTAGCAGTGCTGGTTTCTAAAATTCTACCAATTTCAACGAAGAAAACAGCGTAAAGTGCTAAAATAGCGCCCCAGCCCCTCCACAATATTTATTATTTATTATTGGGGCCATTTTAGTCCAAAAAGTATCAAATCAATCCCTACATTCTTTTACAATGAACTGAAATAGTCCTCAAACAGGATTATTTCAGCGCCCATTAAAAGAGCCTAAGGCTAAATTGACAATTTTGTAGACTCCGGGACAAATACAGGAACAATTTTAACACTTTTCTCTATCAAAATATTATTGACAATTGTAGATTAATATGGTTAGAATGGACAATTCTCAAACCTCCGAGTACAGCACAAATGCTTGTTAGAAAGTGCAGAAGAGATTTGTTCTCTTCCGTGAAAAGCACCTGCATTGAAAATAAAACAATTCAAAGATCTAAACAGGCTCTTGATCATATATGGGAAATCTGATCATATCTTAGGAGAGCCAATCAGGCGATCAAAAAGCTTATTTCACACGGCCTAAAATTATACTTTCAAAGAAGCTTATTTCACACGAGAGAATTCAGTTGCCAAAAAGCTGTAATTTTTGTTCTAACCTTGATTGGTGAGAATTCATAAATGAAGAAAATTCCAGGGAGAGGCCTGGGATAAATATTCCCGTCTGTGAAGTGCTCTGTCACTGAGAACTGCCAGCATGATGAGAAAAATTCAAAGATCTGTATACTGAAATGGTTGCAGATTTTTTGTTCCAGTAGTTACCTGATTTGAATATATCTTGTGTCCTCTTATGTCAGTATAGATTGTAGGAACAACCTTGAGACGAAAAAAATGAACAGGTTACTGATGAGGAAATTAAATTTATAAACATAGAAGATAAGGTTGTGCTTAAAACTAAAAAAGTTTTGGAAATTGTTGTTGATCCAAAACTAACTGATTTTGCTAAAATCTGATATTGCAAATCAAGGAATTGTAGCTTTTACTTGAGCTGATATGAAACATGAAATCAATGAGTAATTTTTGTCACGAAGAATACAAGGGAAAATTGAATAAACTGTTTAAATATATTATATAAGGTGAATACGATGTGCTTGAATATGATGCAAGCTTTTTACATCTTTTAAACATCATGTGCCTTTAGACTATGTTGTTATCATTATTTGTTTCATTAAAGATTATAAAAGAGAGATTGGGAATAAACTACACTACAATTTGTCAAAAATTATACACGAGATAAGAAATTTTACATTCTATCTATTACAACTACCGCAGTGTAATTAAAATCCTTAAAGAGAAACATTGTCATCCCATTTAAAGACTATCAAATATATGTAAATACAAGAACACAGTATACTAAAATCTGATCTTATCAAAAAAAATATAGTCCATGAATATTCTTTGAGGATGGATTAGATACTCAAGATCATTTGTAGTTACACTATGAATCTACATCTGAGGTTGATGAATTTGAATCCTCATCTAAATTACAGCCTATTCATAAATTTGAAAAAGAGGGAAAAATTGTCTCAATTTCAAAACAAGAAAAGAGTTAAAATCCATATTTGAATGTAAATCTCGCTCACTTACAAATTGGATTTGAAACTAAAAAGGAAACTATGATCACATCTAAACCTAAGCTACAATTAGACTATAAATCTAATCCTGATTGTGATGCTAGCTTCTAATATAAATCAAATGAACGTTTAAAAATGAGCCTAAAATGATTTTAAATTGAATTTATCCATGAATATAAAAGTAATCAACTCAAGTCCATTATAATTTATTTGACAAAGTTTATACTGAAATTATTCCAAAGTTTATACTGAAATTATTCCTATGAATTAAACTAAAAATTAATTCATTATTTATTCTTGGATCCTTTCAAAACTCATAAAGATAATCTTGAAGAAGAAAATTAATTTGTATCAATAATTCAGAGATTTATATTAAAGAAAGCATGAAATTCTATTTCATTTATTTGGTCCACTTTAAAAATGCATAGTTCATCACAAGTGGTTTGTTCAACAATCTAAATTAATTTTATTTAAAAAGATTGTTCAGCTATTAAGGTATAACATTCAAGTGCTTTATCTGCATACTTTTTCTTTATCATTTTATCTTCTAGGAATTCAGTCAAGATCTTTATTAGTATCCCATAATATATTATAATGCTGCATTTTTTTTACTTAATATCATAATGATTGATCATTTGAATAATTTTCCTTATTTAAATAATTTGCATGAAGATATTTAATAATTATAGCAATCATGAATCTGTTTTTGAGAAGAATAGAAGGTATATGAAATTCAAACCAAGTGATAAAATAATGAAATGGAAGAATCCTAAATAATTTCATGCTATAAGGTTTAAGAAATTAACTACGAGAAAGATGAGATCGTAATCATAAAACACAACAATGCTTAAAATTTAAAAATATGAGGAAGCACAATGTAGTTGTCTAGTTTTCAATATATTTTATTTCAAGTGCCTAATGCTAATGCTTTGTTTCTTCTCTCTTTCCATCGCCCCGTGAATTCACACTGAGCATTTTATGAGGTAGTTAATAATTATCTTGATCCTGAAACTATTTAGAATAATGAGTTTATATGCAATATTGATAATAGATATTAAAACTAGTTAGTAAATAAGTGTGACAAACCTACTTTACACGCAGTACAAAAATTATGCCTAAAATAGCATGATCAATATTAAGTGCCTAATTGATCAAAGTTGAATATTTCCAAAGTAGATATTAGAGAAGCTATTAAATTATTTAACTATCTAGTGATTCATGTGCTTCTACAGTGCTACATGTTGACTTATTTTGTTGTCTAAAGCTATTTATTTAAATATCTGATTGAGCTTCGACACACAAAACTATAGAAAACTCTGAATCTTTGCGAAAGCAATATTGTAGCATATGTGGTAAGTTGTTTTAGGAACAAATATAATATCACAAGTTTTATTTATTTTGCCAGAATTAAGATTGAGAATTCATGAATTGTTTACCGGAAAAAAAGAAATAGAGTACCGCGGTAAAACCTTTCACAGGAAAGCCAAAATAATCCCGTTTTACTTTCTTATGCTTTTTTTTTCCATTATTTTTCGTTACTATTTAGTCCTTTCCTATATAAATATTGTATTAGGGTTTGAAATGCAGTTTTTTTGTGTGTTTTGATTAGGACAGCAGTCGGCGTCCATCCTTCTCCCTTTGAGGGGTTGTATCCAACAAATCCGGTGGCGTTTTAGCTGTATCACTCTCCTGATATGGTGATTATCATCCTCTATCCTCTTCTGTCTTCTCTATAGTTCACTCCTTCCCCTTGCTGTCCTTGTCTCCTACCTTCATTGTTGCAACTTGCAAACTCTGTCACTTGTTGTCCATTGCTACAACCTGCACCCATACTCAGCCGCCCTTGCCGCCCTTTCTTACAAACTATAGCCATGTTTTGACCCAACCCTAATTTCCTCTTGCTAATTTTCAAAATTAGCAACCCCAAGTTAATTTTCCTGCACCTCCAATTAGTCTCATACACCATCTTTTACCTCCCAAACTTAAACCCTAGCGATGATACCAAGGAGATACATGACCAAGCCTACTAGTGAATAGATACAGTCGCAAATACGCCAGCTTGAGAATATTGGGAATAAAACCAAGCGGAGATTAAACTCGACCGTCCTTGGGAGATTTGAAGGGGAAAGCATGATAAGTTGAACAACACCAGCTCCCACTAGCTTACTATAAACAGAATGTTCAGACCCTAGCTTCATAATTGGAGAGATCACATAACAAAGAAACTGCCCCATCCTACAAGTAAAGTTCAACATCAGGATCATCTTACAGCCAAAGTACACCTAGGAGAACACCCAAGACGACCCCATCAGAGAAAAAAATAATTCAAAGTGGACAATAGGTGGAACCAATCCACATCCCTAAATCTATCACAATTAGAAAGTGTTGCAAGTGTCACGGATTTGAGGATGTTCAATCAGACTGCATAATTATGGGGTAATCTATTTTGCTGAGCAGGACGTTCTTAAAAAATTTGGTAATGAAATAGCAGACACTGAAGACGGTGAGGATACAAAGGAGGAACAACTTCTAGTTGAGGAGGAAATGTGCATATAGTTCCAGCTGAGCACGTGGGAGAGACTCCAATTGACTTCACGGTGGGCGTCCAAAGTAGTCTTGAGCTCGAGGAACTGACACCAGAGACATGACAACCACATATAAGAGAAATCAAAACCATTCAGATCTATAGGCTCATTTCTGAGTTGCCCCTACTAAGTGAGGTCCACCAGGTCAGAAATGAGGCCTTTTTGTGCCATGTCCGGAAGATTACATGGAATTTTCCAGATTATAGATTCAATTCAGCATGGTACCTATCATTAGATATCCAAATAGAAGGGATGAAACCCAACCTTAAAATGCCTTAGAAGCTTGATGGAGAAGGAAATTCTTCAATGGGGTTCATGTTCTATTAGTGCAGATGAGGTCTCTCCTAAGTGGTTGCTAGTAAGAGTGGTGCAATTTTCCACAAATTTCATCCCAGTTTGACTTATCCTCACATATTAATTTATCAACAAGATTCCGTTGAGGATGAAAAATGGAAGAAGGTTTCAGACTTAAGGGCTCAAGAGTTACGTTGCAGAAACCTACATCTATATGCAACTCCAACTCATGATGTGACAAGAGAGAATACATATTTATTATATTAAGACGTATTGCGGAATGACAACCACATGATCGACATACAAGAAGATTACAATATTTAAGCTACCTTCAATGTGGCAAACTTAACTCCATGCTACAAAGAACCAAAAAGTTCGATTAATGAAGTCAAAACTCTCCAACTACAGAAGATTGGTATAGGAGTTTACCAAAAAAAAAAAAATGCAGTAATATAGCCACAAAAGAGGCCAAAATAATTTGGTTTTCCTTTCTTATACTTTCTTTCCTATTATCCTTCATTGTTTTTTAGTCTTTTTCGATATATGACCTGTATTAGGGTTTGGAATGCCGTTTTTTTGGTGTGTTTTGTTTAGGATGACCATTCGACATTTGTTCATCTCCCTTTGAGGGTTGTATTCAACGGACTGGATGGTGCTCTGACTGTATCCATCTCCCGAGGCGGTGATTATTGTCCCCTATCCCCTTCCGTCTCCTCCCATGTTGCTCTCAGCCGCTTCGTCTTTGTTGTTGCCTCCCGAACAACTTCCTATAGCTATCTTCCCTGCAGTTCTCCCCTTCCCCTTGTTTTCCTCGTCTCCTACCATTGCTGTCGTGGCTTGCAAAACTCTACCACTTGTTGTCCACTGCAAGAGTCTGCACCCATACCAGCTACCCTTACGGTCCTCACCCCAGAGAGCCACGCCACGTCAATATCGACTACGTGCTTGCTATCTGGAACCCAAGAAACATCATTTTTCTTGTTTTCTATTTTCCGACCACCTCGTTCACCATTCCTCGTCTCCTACCATTGCTGTCGTGGCTTGCAAAATCAATCACAAAGTGTTGTTGTTTCCTATTTACGTCTAGTTAGTTGTAATTTTTCTTTCAATGTGTGAGTTGTAACAACTTGATCGACTTCCAATAATAATATTTGATTTTTATATTATGGTTTGGGTTAACTTTAGTATCAATAGGTCTGGTTTAAATTATAAATAAAATCTCGTCGTGTAAAATTTACCCCATTGTCAATATAAATTCATATTTTTCTCTCAAATTTGAGTACTCGTTGGATTTAAATTCTTCACGCATGATGCCAAGTCTTCATAAGAATCTGGATAAAACTTCTTATATCGCCGATACAAAACTATGAACTTCTATAAACTTCTCTCCCTTCTATTATGCACTTTGTGATTGATTTTGCATGTGATTAAAATTTGCGAAATTTACATACATACCACACGATCCTTATGCAATTACATATCTAACACCCAAAGTTTAATATTTACACTTATAACACCTTGGACTCATAAACTTATGCACGAAAAAAAGTAAATTTCACTTACAAAAAGATAGCAATGACGGATTTTTTAATGTGATGCTAAAGATTTGATTGGAATGCATGCAATTGTGAATGTTTAGGTGTTAGATGTGTAGATACATAAGAATTGCATGGTATGCATGTAAATGCCCCTTGAAATTTAGTCAAGTCAACTACAATCTATTTTTCTTACTTCGTGGTATGAATACTGATCATGATGCGATTTTAAAGTATCATTACAAGTGAAACTGTCACTTATCTAATTTGAGTAAAAAGAAATGAAGATTTTTCCTGAACTAAGAATTGACAAACTATGAATTTTGAACATTGTGCATCCCATTCAATCTTTATAGTAAAAAGAGAGAACTAAGCTAACCTGACAAACTTGGTACATTATGACTACACTAGTTCCAAACCCAAAATCATTCAGACTTCATAGCACAGTATGGCAGCATTAGATTTTAAGTAAAAAATAATCGTGTCAAGAGCTCACTTTAATGAAGTATGTATAAATTCCTGAAGAACTTGGTTGAATCCACTGTGCACTGGAAGTCATAATAAAAATTATGTGTTAGCAAGAATGGATCATCATTCAAAAAAAAAAGACATATACTCGCCCAAAAATGAATTAAATATGAATTATAATCGACGGAGCTCACCGATCAAGTGGATTTATCACACCAGGGAACTCTGTACCAAATGAAAGTTTGTTAATCGTGTGGCTTATCTGAAAAGAGGAGGACAAGATTAAAGGTCAGAGAGAAATACCACTAAAGTTGAAGAAAAAGAATCCTCACACCTAACAAAGGCTGGCCCATGCTACTTACATTATATTCAGCCTGTAAGGAAAAGACATCAAGGAAAGGAAAGCTTAATTGATGGAAGCCTTTCCCAGGAGCAAAATGTATATTTCCAGCAACTTTCTTAACATCAACAAACCCATGGATGTTGCATCCTTCACCTTGCTCCTCCTGAATTTTCTGGAAAATGCCCTCTCTCTTGCACTGCAGTCATTCGGAAAAGCATAAGTACTTTTGACTAGGCGAGGAGTTGAAATATAACACTAAGGCTAAATGTACAATTTAATGATTTTATCATTTATCATTACATCAACACACAAAATTGCCATATAAATTAGCTGTAACATGCATAAAAAAAGGAAAATTTGCAGATTCACTAGTCCTTTCATTGCTCGCTCTATAGAGATGCCCCTTTGAAAGTCAAAAACTAAGTGAATTAAAGTTACCTGATCAATTAAATCTATATTTGTAATACCCCATCCCTTCCTTCTGTATGCTTCTCGAACTTCTTCGCACGTGTTACAACAATGATCATCAGACTGACACAGAAGCACAACTTAAATTTTAGAAATTGCTAAGCATCTCCACATTTGATATTGTTAAGAAAACGCAGAAAATGCATATAAAACGACATTAAAAATGAATTCAAGCAAGTATGCATAAGATTTAGTTTAGGTGTTAGATATGTAATAAATCAGAACTAGGTGTCATGTATGTAAATGTCCCAAGGTTTAAATAAGACAACCAACAGAATGGCATACCCCTTCTGCACCATAGCAAGAACCACAGTATTTCTCATTATGATCAAGCCTTCCACCATGCTTCTGCAAGGGCCTTTCAATCTAGACAACAAGTACGCAAACAAAGATTAAAGCTTAAGGAGAATTAAAAAAAATGATAATGAGCAGGAGATGCTGATGAAAGAACAAATGAAACACACAAAACAATTCCTAAAATAAAGGAAATAATGGATCTCGCCCGCTACAGAGGACCAAACAAGGGCACAAAATAAAATATACATATTAATCAAATCCGAATAGCATCAACTCGACATAATTCAAATTCTGCATAATTAAAAAAAACCTTGGCATTCCTAAAAATGGATGAAAAAGCTGGAGCAAGCCAAAAAATCATCGTGAGAATCACTGATAAAGGCTTAACTGTTGGAGAAATATGTGTCAAACCAGTTTTCTAATATACTTATGTTTCCATGCCCTTTACTAAGTAAAAAAGAATGCAATTTTGTGGATGATTTGCAAACCATTATGATCTCTCTAACTGATAAGTATTTGATGACAAACCGGACCAATAATTAGGATTGTCTTACTAGAAGTTTGCCTAAAGACTAAAAAGAAATGTGAAAGATGTAGTTTAGCGATTTCCAAAGTCTAGACAATGACATATCTAAGATAAAGCCAAGGGCTGCCACTCAACTTCCAATTCTCTTCTCAGGTAGAAGTTTTCAAGTATGAGGAGTTGAGTCTGGTAATGACCAGTGAAGTAGCTACTAACATCAAAGACATATAATAGAATATCGGCTTCTAGTCAAGAAGTCTAGTTGTTTTGTCAGCGAAAACACAAACAATGATTTCAAATGATGAGGTTGTGGCAGCAAGTCAAAATATCAAGGCCGACAAGCTTGAAAACATAGAAACATGTTTGGGGGTGTGTTTAACACAAAAAAGGTAAATTTATACATGTATATATATGTATATATATACATGTATATATATGTATATATATACATGTATATATATGTATATATATACATGTATATATATATATATATATTGAAAGCCCAAAACGCTAATATATTAAATTGAAAGAAAGATACAGATACAATATGTGGGAGAGCGCAAGCATGACACCCTGCTCACACAAAAACCATAAATGGTTCTAAAACTAGAAAAAAAAAACAGAAAAATACATTAGATACTAAAATAAAAAGCCTAACAGTGTTGAAATACATAGTATCAGGTGGTTAAAGAGCAACACAATTTGGTCTTGCCTCTGCCTCTAGTTCTAGGGCAGAAGCAAGCTAATAAGCTGAAAAGATGATTTTCATCGCCAGTAGTAACCAATGTATCATCTAATATGTTCCTGAGCTGGAGTCGGCCTCCATTCTTAGAATCAGTCTGATGGGGTGGTAGAACTGAAGCAGAAGGATTACCAACCGTATTACCCAGTATATGTGAAATATGAGTTGCCTCTACACCGGATACTTCTTGAAGAAGTGGAGTTATAAGGCTCTCCTGATTATCAATCTGAACACTATCATTTGTAGGTAATAGTCCATCAGTATTGTTTTTTATGGGGTTTGAAGGTGTCAACATCACATCACTAGCAATAATAGTAACAGCAGTGTCATTGGGGGGGAAGGGGGGTTCCTCAGGGGCAATAGACACCTCCCGTCTGGTAGTATATTCCCCAGGTGGAACTAAAATGTCCGGAGCAGCGGGGTTAGACCCATCCTTATTCACTTGAACCTTAGATTTCAAATTTTGATAAAACTTGTGATATTTATCAAGAACATGACCAAATATCTTATAGTGGGTACAACATGGGGGTCTGTGCTCCATGACGATTTGTTGTCAATAAGCATTATGGGTTGTGCTCAGCCAAATTTCAATAACATCAGGTAAAGAAATATCCATTTCCACAAGTATTCTGCCCACCGAGGGTCTGGTTAGGTTGAAAATAGGCAGATCTAGTTTCAAAGGATCCCCAAGGATAACCCCAACATAGTAGAGAACCTGATGGTGAAAAAAATGCAACTTGAGACCAGGTAAACTAAATCATACCGGTACAGTGGGAATTTCATGATTTGGGTCGAAATCAGGAGACCAGTGGAGTAGCTCCGTAGGGTTACCAGCAATGTTAAGATATTTTTTTGGAGAAAATTTGAGAGTAGTCTTCAGACACGGTGCTTCAGACACGGTAAACTGAATCAAAACATGTCTTCCATCCATGAGTCTCACTTTTCACTTTCCTGCTAATTTGAGATCATCAAAATTTTTCCTGATAACATCCATAGGTGGGTGTCCCAACTGAAATTTCTCAATGAGAACAAACTTGAATTTATCAGTAGTGTTGAAATTTCTAACTCTAAGAAAAAGAGTGTTGTCTTCCCACTTTTTCTATTTGCATTCTTAATAAAGGGCAATCACCTGTACCATCACGATTCTTCTTATAACTTGAAGGGAACACAACCACCGTCTCCCCCTGAGGATTACCAATAACGTGGGCAAATGAGGTTTTTGTCAGGTTCACCCGAAGAAGAAATAAGCTCCATCCAGAAGTTCTGCAAATCAGGCAGAAGGCCAAAGAGGTCGGGGCACTGCGCAAAAGATAGTAAATCGCAGACAGGAACTGCAGATGAGCTCAACAGAGTCATATATCTATATAGGGT